AAAGACAATGGAATTTTATAAAGAACAGACAGAACTGGATCAAATATTGTTAAAAACAGATGAAAACTTGATTAAGAAACTTTATAGATTTCTGCTAAATTTAAAGATGGAAGGAGAGCAAGTAAAAGAAACAATGATAGTTTGGGCAAAAAACTTTGGATATTCTATAGATTTGGAAGACTGGCAAAAATTATGGGATAGAAATATTAAATTAACTAAAGCAGTCTCATATAAAGAAAACTTGTATAAAATGTTTTATAGATGGCATATGACACCACTAAGATTAGCAAAAATGTTTAAAAATATTTCAAATAATTGTTTATTATACTTTCTACAATTATCTATTACTATATTAACTATTGTTAGCTAAACATATGTACCTGGAGAATAGTCTGTTTGCTAAATATTGAAAATGTTACTGGGGGATAACCCCAAAGTTGACCCTAACCCTGTCTTAACCCTAATCCTGATCCCAACCCTACCCTAAACCCCAACCCTTACCCCAACCCTATTTTATCCCTAATCCTATAAAATTCAATAAAATCATTTTTTAAAAAAATAGTGAATAAGTAGACTTTTGTGAATAAAGACAGTTTTTTCTGAATAAAGTAAGTTGTATTGGGAGCTACTTTGAGCATAAAAAGAATCTAATATGTTAATATGTTAACAATCTCCTTGTTGCTGTATCTTCCTTTAACTTTGCCTCCCCTATCACAAGTAAATGAAACAGCAGTCATGGATTTATCCATTTTCCTAGATAAAAATCAACAGAAAGTTTTATCTTCAGGCAGGAAATAATAAAGATAATAAAATAATAAAGGTACAGGAGGACCTGGACAGACTTGAACACTGGGCACTATCTAACAAAATGAAATTCAATTGTGAAAAAAGTGAGATTCTACATTTAGGCAAGAAAAACCAAATGTACAGGTATAGTATAGGGGGTACCTTGCTCAATAGTAGTAACTGTGAGAGGGATCTCAGAGTCCTAGTGGACAATCACTTAAATATGAGTCAGCAGTGTGCTGCAGCTGCCAAAAGAGCCAACACAGTGCTGGGCTGCATTAACAGAGGGATAGAATCAAGATCACGAGAAGTATTAATACCACTTTACAATGCCTTGGTAAGGCCACACTTGGAATACTGCATCCAGTTTTGGTCACCACGATGTAAAAAAGATGCTGAGACTCTAGAAAGAGTACAGAGAAGAGCAACAAAGATGATTAGGGGACTGGAGGCTAAAACATATAAGGAACGGTTGCTGGAATTGGGTATGTCTAGTTTAACGAAGANATGCCTTGGTAAGGCCACACTTGGAATACTGCATCCAGTTTTGGTCACCACGATGTAAAAAAGATGCTGAGACTCTAGAAAGAGTACAGAGAAGAGCAACAAAGATGATTAGGGGACTGGAGGCTAAAACATATAAGGAACGGTTGCTGGAATTGGGTATGTCTAGTTTAACGAAGAGAAGGACGAGGGGGGACATGATTGCAGTGTTCCAATATCTCAGGGGCTGCCACAAAGAAGAGGGAGTCAAGCTATTCTCCAAGGTGCCTGATCAAGGAGAGAAGCAACTTAGAACTAAGGAGAAACTTCCTGACAGTTAGTTGATTAAATTTGCCAGGTGTGCCATAATTCAGTCCTTTTATTCTGACTTCTATACTAAGACATATATACAGTATGTGTACAAGATCATATTTGTGTTTGCAGGCACGTAAAAGAGCCACATGGGTTAAATGGCAGCCATTTTGACTCTGTGCACAAATCAAGAGGAGCTTGACTTTGCTCAGCTGAAATTATGTTTTTGTTTTCCTTTTGTGTCACTCCATTCACTTCTTATTTTGAGGAAGCTTATACTAGTAGTATTTTTCTAATGGAAAGATCTTCAAACAACAATTGTAGTAACAAGGAATTAAGCTTACAGTTTTTGATGGTATAAATACCTTTCAAGATAACAGAAGAAACGTGGTTATTTTTTTGGTTTCTGTTTCTTACCATATATTTTTTCAGTTCGTTCTTGGTTTTCATTTCTTGTATGACCTGTTGTAGTAATCCATTAAAACTTGGGCATCTAAAATTAGGATATTTTAACAACTACAACGAAAAGAAAGAAAAAGAAAAATAATGATTAAATAACTAGAATGGCCTCTTTATATAATTATTTTCCTGTTCATAGTCCATCTAGCTAACCTAACTGGAATTTGTACTATTAATAAAGGCACAAGACCTCCCTTTCACATTACATATTATGTGTAATGTATTATAAAGGTGTCTGTATTGTGTGTAATTCATACTGTTTCAGAGTTCTGCCAGAAGATATATTCTGACTCTTGGCATTAAAAAAAATACTGCCTGGTGCAAGTGTGTATATATGTGAGTGTGAATACATACATATACTTTATATTCATAAATGATATGTGAACATAATAATGCAACATACTGGAGTTGCATGTCTACAGTACAAGAGAGCCAGTTCTCTAGTGATTAAAGCAGGGGTAGTCAACCTTGGCTCTTTTATGACTCGTGGACTTCAACTCCCAGAATTCCTGAGCCAGCTGTGCTGGCTCAGGAATTCTGGGAGTTGAAGTCCACGAGTCATAAAAGAGCCAAGGTTGACTACCCCTGGATTAAAGCATCAGGCTAGAAAGTGAGACCGTGAGTTCTAGCTCTGCTTAGCTATGAAAGCCAGCTGGCTGACTTATTTATAAAAATAATAAAGGTTATATATGTATATGTGTATATATATATATATATATATATATATATATATATATATATATATATATGTATATGTATATGTATATGTATATGTATATGTATATGTATATGTATATGTATATGTATATGTATATGTATATGTATATGTATATGTATATGTATATGTATATACAGGAAGTTTTCCAGACAGACCGGTCTGATTGAGAACACCTGGACATTTTTTTAAACTGCTATACTGCAGTTTTTACTTTTACAATATCTTTTACCATGCAGCCCCACAACTAGGGGCATTAAGCAGGCTCAAGTCGCAACTGCGAAACATTTTTAAATCCAAATTTTTTTTTTCTGACAAAGAGTTAAACTCTTTAACTCTTTGTCAGAAAAAGAAATTTGGATTTAAAAATGTTTCGCAGTTGCGACTTGAGCCTGCTTAATGCCCCTAGTTGTGGGGCTGCATGGTAAAAGATATTGTAAAAGTAAAAACTGCAGTATAGCAGTTTAAAAAAATGTCCAGGTGTTCTCAATCAGACCGGTCTGTCTGGAAAACTTCCTGTATATACTTCCTGGATTCTGCTGGCAAAGAGGGGAGGAGATCCTGTGGCTTGGTGGTTGAATCACTGCCTAGTATGTAAACTGCCCAGGTTTGAATCCCATAAAGGGTATGGCTAACTGATGAAAGCAGAACAAGCTAGAAATGGCCATCTTAGTCTCCCGATTTAATTCTTTAACTCTTTGTCAGAAAAAGAAATTTGGATGTGTGTGTGTGTGTGTGTGTGTGTGTGTGTATGTGTATATATGTATATACAGTGAATATAAGCAATGAATATATGCAGTTTCCCTTGCCAAAAACTAATTCAGCTCTCTGAAGTCACTGAACTACTGCACATATTTTTTCTTGTTTTCTTTATTATGTACTTATTATGCAAATGTATATGGCTGCCCATCTTTCAATCAAGTCTAGATAGTGAATGAAATAAAATTATATATAAAAGCAAATCTTTTTTTAAAAAAAAATATGATAAAAACAATAGAGATACCAGATAAAAACTCTTTAATAAAGCAGACTAAATGCAGACTGGGCTCTGTTAACATCCCAAAACTGGAATGGGACAACTCACTGCAGCTGACTCACTCTGTCCAACTTGCTATGGCTATCTTGTCACGGCTGACTCGTCCTGGCTGACTCACTATGGCCAACACACTGCAGGACAATTAAATAACTCAAGAGATGAATTTCACCCAGCCTTAAGGACTTCTAAACTGAGAATGTTCAAACTTAAAGCAAGACAAGGCCCCTGCAATTGTCCCTGTCTTAAATTATCCCACATTGAATTGTCTTGTGGCGAATTGTCCTATGGCAAATTGGCTGTGGTGAGTTGTCCCATGGTGAGTGGGCTGCAGCAAGATGGCTGGGTTGAATCAGTTGTCCTACACCCTACTAAAGCCTTAGGAAAAAGGCAAGATTTTTAAAACCTTTCAAAAGGTCAACAGTACAAATTTCCAGAGGAAGCTGTTCTATGGGTAATTCCATAATTCCCCTCTCTGGTAAGAGACAATGCTATCTGTTCTTCCAGCATTCTAATTTTGTATATATATATATATATACAGTATATAGGAATATTCAAGGATCTGTACTTTTCTTGCAATCTGAGATGACACAAACCCACAGCTATGTTCTGCCATCATATCCTATTCTGCACCACAGGGTACAAGGTACTATTAAAAGAATTAAGGTACTATTAGACAGAGGCGTAGCGTGGGGGGTGCAGGGGGGGCCGGCCACACCGGGCGCAACATCTGGGGGGGCGCGCTCGCACTCGCAGCTCTCTGCCCCTGCCTGGCTCACTCACTCTCTCTGCAGTGCTGGCTGTGCGAATCTGATCCGAGCCGCCGGGTCGCCGATGCCACCCACTGTGGAGGGGGGCGCAAATTACTTGCCCCGGGTGCTGACAACCCACGCTACGCCACTGCTATTAGAGAGTTAAAGGTACTATTAGAGAGTTAAAATGTAACATGCTTCCTTGCCTTTTCCTCTGATTTGGGCACAGTATGAACTGGAATAGGTTGCCAATGAATGTCTGGATTCCAGTGTTCTTTGGCTGAAGGAGGAAAGAGACCAGCCAGGACTGCTTCAGCACTCATTAGAGTTCGATCATAATCTGTACTTCGGATATAAATCTAGAAAAGGAAAAAATAAAGAGTTGCTAACCTGATCTTCTTTGTAACTTCCATGTCATATGAACCATGCTTTTTAAAATTATTGTTATGCATTTGCTTATCTCCTTGTTTAATATGATTTATGCCCTGTCATCATATATGGACATTTATATTGCTAATGGGAATGATATAAATTCCAGTAAAAAGCCTATGTGATAAATTTTGATTGAAGAAATGTTTGTCTTTAAATGTCATCAATATGATATGGCTGTGTCTTACACATGTAATCCAATCAGGATTCCCAAATTGTCTGTCTTTATATTAAGTATTTTATATGGTTTATAACCTCAAATGAAAGCTCAAATATCTGATTCCCATACATTCTTTGTTACAAGCAATGAAAAAGAAGAATTTGAAAACAGGGAGTGATGAAAACACAATTCTCTTTCTTTTTTTCTGCCTTTGCCTTTGCCTCTCTCTCTCTCTCTCTCTCTCTCTCTCTCTCTCTCTCTCTCTCTCTCTCTCTCTCTCTCTCTCTCTCTCTCTCTCTCTCTGTCTGCCAAGAAATGGAGAGAGAGAAAGATTCAGAGCAAGGGTACGAAAAAGAATGACTGTTCCATTGGACGTCTTTGTTCTTTCCTGCCATCACAATAGCTGCCATTGGGATAGGAAAGGAGTGACAAGAAATAAGAAGCAACCCTGTCACAGGGAAAGTGTTTGCATCTCTTGGGAATTTCAAACAACTAGACTGATGTTGGACTACTCCATCTATCAAATACACCCAATTTCAGCTTTGTAATTTTTAGTCCAGTTTGTATGGTAAGTATCCTTAAATGAGCTGACTATCAGTTCATGTCAAATAAAGTATTACTGGATATAAAAGCAGGGCTTTTTTTTCTCATAGAACGCCCAGAACGGAGTTCTGGCACCTTTTTTGGATGGAACCTTGTACGGTAGGCAAGGCGGGTTATATGATGTGTGTGAGTTCCGGCACCTTTTTTTTTTTTTTTTTTTAGAAAAAAAGCACTGTATAAAAGAAATGAAAAAATATTTCCCATTCTTACCTCTTTTGGCTTGTATGAAGGACTTAAGAACTTCTTATATCTATCTTTTAACCACTGCCCAAGTTGATATGCCTGCTGCGTTCCAGTCTGTGGTAGGAATAATATAATATGTAGTTAAATATCTTGAAACAGTCAATAAACATTTTTACCTATCAATAATTTAAAAGCTCTATTGAATCTTAAAAAATTATGCTGTAAAGTTTGGATAAGATATTTATAATAATAATAATAAAGTTGGAAGGGACCTTGGAAGTCATCTGTAAGTCAATTTCTGTAAGTCAATAAATGTTGAATATTTGAGCACAGTCTTGAACAAACAAAGCTATAGTAAATGGAATTAAAATAATACTGTATTTGGGTTAATGAACATGTTTTAAGAATATCTATCAAACCTTAGTCAGTTGTCCATATCCACGTGGCCAGGTATTTTCTCTGACTGTATTTTTGGGAAAACTTGAAATAGGAGTTCTGTCACCATGCCGATAAAGCTGGTAAAAATGTTTGGAGACAATATTAATTGTCAGAGAAACTGGAATTTGATACAAAGCATGTTATTATAATTAAATATCAGAACTTGCAATGAAATTTCTGCATCAGGAAAGTGCAATCCTTTCCAGTCTCTCTCTGAAGTAATATGGATGAAACACTGAAATGAATAACGAAATTATTTCCTTCAGTTAGGTATGATCAAATATTTCAGAATTTCCTTGATTATTGTTTGATTAGATTGCTTGCTTGCTTGCTTCATTCATTAATTCATTCATTAATTCATTAATTCATTCATTCATTCACATAAAATGCTATGGAATCCAACAAATTGGTGGATCTGTGTATGACAGTAAAAAGTACTAATAGAATAGAAATTTGCAGCTCAGGGTTGAACTATTGAGTCCTGGTGCAAGGAGCAAATCTGACTCCATTTAAATACTGATGATGTTACCTAGTTGGGTAATGAAACATCTGCAAGAAAACAACCAAGCTTAGAGAGCACCAAGGATCCCATAGTGAAAAGTCCCCAACAATCACTGATCCACAAAGTTATTTTTTTTAATGATAGAAATCTCATACTGTTACTAAGATTTCAGGGAAGGACACCAAAATCCCACAAGATTTGGTGGTAGCACACCACATTGCCCATGTTTTGAATGTAACTCTTCCTGCTCCCAAAAATAACTTTAGAGACTAGTACTTGGTACAGCATCCATGAAGGCATTGAAAAAAATATTCAGTTGTTGTGATGTGTCTATATCTTCGAAGAACAGAATAGTGCAAGCAATAGTATTTTTTGTGATATTCTATGGGAGTGAAAGTTTGAGTTTGAAGAAGGAGAATAAAAAGAATGTTAATACCTTTGAATTTTGGTATTTGAGATTATGAATATTGTGAACATTCAAGAAAACACACAAATGGTTCATGAACATTTCAATCTGAGTTTTCATTGGAGATGCCAATGACCAAGATTAGTTATCTTACTAAGCAAAGATCTAAGTCTCTGCAAAATTTTGCATTAATTTTGAGACATATGGAAAGTAAAAGAGAATAACTAGTATCAACATTGGACTCTGTTAAAGTGATGATGAGTTAGGGACATATCATCATGGGGAAAAAACTGTCTATGTAGTAACTAAAAGTTAACTTAAACTTAATGGCACATAATCTATCAATCAATTCATTATCGATCAATTAAGACTTCCACAGGACTATGGTTCATGTGCCTTCCTGTCTGTCATTGAAAATGTGCTCAATTCCCCAAAGCTGTGGTTGGTCTTATCTTCATATATTCAAATGATGGAAATAATCAGATCCTTTCAAAGAAGATAACCTTCTTAACCAACTTTTCCTGACCTGTTGAACTTTAGATGTGTTGGATAGTATCTTTCAACATTCACAGCAAAAGACAATCTTGGAAAAGATTGTTGGAGACATGGATGCTATTACTATTGTCAGTTTTATATGTTGAAGTCAGATCAAAATTTTAGAATTCAGTGAAAAATAGGTTTTCTTTTGTTGTTGGATATTTCTTTCTCAGTTTCTGCAGCCTTTTTCTAAATATAATTTCTTTGCTGTTGGTTTCTGATGTTGACATACATGAAACAGGAACTGTCCAATACATCATTACAGGGCAATCAAAATCTAAAGAAAGAAAAGCATACCTAAATTGCAAAGGACATACAACCAGCAATGACAACAAACCTTGTACTTACAATCACGTTAAATTTCATTTGCCTTCCTATTGCACAATGGAAAAGCAGACCAAAAAAGAGACTTAGGGAGGAAAAGCCCAAACTATGTAAGATGAACACTAGATTCATCATGCATGTGTTTGACAGCAGCACAGAAAAGCTTTTGGGAAAAACAGCGGGCAAGAAAATCCTGTGCTTTTAAAAGAGCAAACAAAGGGGTGGAGACTCCATGGATATTTAATCTTGAAAGCCTTTTTCCTCGTATTTTCCTTTTTTCATTAAGATATACAGATCTTCTTCTAAATATTTATGTACAATAAAAAGTTGAAAAATATAATGGGATTGTATGACCTACTTCTGAAATACCTGTCATTGGTGTTCAGATCTTCTAAATCTGTGCATTCAGTAGGAAGCAGGGACAAATAGGGAGCTTCTTGCATTACCCTATTATATGTCTCACTAAATCATAGTGCACTGAATAAATGTCTGGGTTCATATAATCTCTACAGTAAATTCAAACAGACCCATTATGGATTAGAGGAATATGTGAAACCAACTCTACAGACATTTGATAGTAATCTCTTCCTCACATTTCAACTGCATGAATCCAACCCAATGTGCCATACAGCCAGATGAGTGGCTCTACTGCAACCTCAAAATTAGAACATAAAGATTATTATAGAGAAGTTACATATATTAACCATATTGGAAAACTTCATATATGGCAGCAAAATGTGTCTTCTATTATGTTTATGATTTGGACATAGATTTCAAGAGGCCAGAAGCTTCTGAATTGCTTACTCCAAATCATTCCCCCTACAAACCTATTGGCCCTCCAGGGAGCTTACCTCAATGTGAAATGAATTTGCATTTATAAAGAGGAAATACAAGAGTATAAACTCCCACTCTATATTTCATACTGAAAACTAATTTGACAATATTCTTCTGATTTTTTTCCTCATTTAGCTATATATATGAAAAAAGCAAAAATTCCAATATGGCAGAATGATTTCACTTTTGAGGCTGCCTCTAGTTTGTGCTCATAGTTTTCCTACATTTTTTTTATTCAGTAGGATATACTGATAGAAAATAATAACAAATTTATTGTATTGTTGTATGCTTCACTTAATAAAGGTGTATTCAGTAAACTTATTACTGGATTAAATCTCTCTATAAGATTGTTTGATGGCACATGATCAGTTCAAGAACTTACATTTGGCTGGATTCATCTAGAGACATTAAAGAAGTTGTGATGCAGCCTAGGCTAAATACATGGGAGTACCACTTTTTTTTTATAGGAATGATCCATGGATCCAACCCAATGATTTAAATGTACATGTGACTGGATTCAGCTTCAACTCTGCCTCCAAGATTGCACACATTCACAACAGTAGGTTGGAAGCCATCATAGGAGGCAACAAAAATGGTCTTCCAGGGACACCCTTGGTTTTTATGGAACAAAGGTTCCCAGCCCCAATCCTCCTCCTAAAAGAGTTAGATTATGATGAACCTTCTTCAAGTAATGGTTGGACATCCCATTAGCATCCAGCAATATACAAGCTTCTGCATGTTGCTGCCTATGCTGCTAAGCATAAAAAGATCCATTAGGTCAATCAGGGGTGGGGAAATCATACTTTCTACTATAGATTACTTTATTCTATTACACTTTGCTTAGCTCTTAAATATTAACCTTGCTCATAATATATTATACCCTACATTAGTATAAAACTGTCAAAAAAACCCAGTTAGCTTTGTGTAGTTTACAGGAAGGTGCATATTTATTTATAGTTTTTACAGGGGATTCCATGTGAGTCAATGGAAGCAAAACAATGAGAGGAATCAGAGTCCCTGAAAGACAAAATAATTTAATGATGATTTCAACATTTGGTTTCGTAGCTATGTCTACTTCATTAATAAGATTCTGTAGGAGATGCAGTCTGCGAAAATTACTTTGGGAAGTGAGAATACACAACATGCTTAATATAAATCTATAGCTATTCCTCATTTTATAACTGTTTGTTCACAATGGCTCAAAGTTACAACGGCCTCAGGAAAAGTATTGATAAGAGTTATATAGCCACCCATTTCACACAAGTGACTCTGGCTCACAAAATTAAAGCAAACAATCCCAGCAAACATAAGAACCCTGATGCCCAAGGATGAACTGTTAACTCCACCCAACATGAACAGTAGCCTAGTTCATATAATGCCATGACTCAAAGAGCCAGACTGTCGGTATTTTGCAAAAGTCTAAGAGAGTTGACAAGGCCATGTGGTCATGGGGACATCCCAGTTCCTCTACCACCTCTAATACAAAGAAAGATCTTACATAAAGATCATGTTTCAAGAAAATTGATGAAAAAAGAGCACAAGATATTTTTGAATATTGTTCTAAATCTGAGCTGCTGTGATTGAAAAAAAAAATTTGATTATAGATCTTACTGCATTCTTCAGGCAAGCTTATATTTGAAAATTGTTCTAAATTATAATGAACTCTTGGACACAATGATCTTATGTTTTTACTTGTAAATTACAGGATAATAAGTACATAAGCACTAAATAGCAACAAAGAATTACAGATAACATAAAGTTTAAGAATGTGCATAGCAAGTAATGGTCCAGAATAACAATAAAAATAATTGATTTGAAACATGATCATTGAGAGAAAACAAGAGGACAAACTGTTTCATTATCTTAATAGAACAATATGTTCTATGCATGGAAGATTAAATATTGTTGAGGCAATTATTTGCATAGTGCTGAAACAACAATCACAAAATCTAAATTACATAGAATCTTACCTGAATATCAAACAGTCCGTTCACAAAGTTAGAAAGAGATTGGAAATGTTACTGTAAACATTACAATGTGTTCTCATATGTGTGCACATAAATTCATAAAGAAACTGAGGAGAAAGATGGAAACTCAAAAAAAATATGCATATAATGATTTGGAAGCCATGGTTTTATATTAATGGTTTGCTTAGGCCACAGTTTTCTGGGCTGACACAGCAAATTGAAATCTAAAGCAAATATGAAAATATTAAGGGTATATTAAGGGCATAAGTCATTTTATTTTGATATAAGACTGGACAATCTTTAGGCATGTGGGTGCATATATCCTTTTTAGACTTCATGTACTTCCATCCTGGGCAGTTTGGGGAAAGACTCTGTGCATTTAATTTTGGAAAAAGTATTATTTTTTTGTACACACACACACACACACACACACACACACACACAGAGAGAGAGAGAGAGAGAGAGAGAGAGAGAGAGAGAGAGAGAGAGAGAGAGAGAGAGAGAGAGAGAGAGAGAGTTTTGTATTCACTAAGTAAAAGTAGTAGGTATGATGCTTAATCTATGTACAAAAGGCAGGTTATATTAAAATCATAAACAAATATTAGAGCATCGGTGTAAGGCCCATCAGGATTTTTTTTTAATCCACAGAAATGGATGACATCAGTGATCATTAGATGGAGTCTAAATGTATTTCTGCCATCCATCCATCCAATTTATAAGGCCATCCATCTCACAAAAGTATGACTCTGGGCAATGTGCAATACAGCAGGTGTTTGTATGTAGGTTTTGGTTATTCGGGTTTTCTCCCGCGTAAAATTGGAAGTGTCTTGGCGACGTTTCGACGAAGTCCCATTCGTCATCTTCAGGTTGGTGTCCTCAGCTTTGTGCTTCTAGGAGTAATGTGTGATCGCAGCTGTTTCTTCCTTTTAACTGCCAGTGGGGTTTGAACTGATTGGGTGGGAGGTTGGCTGGGTTCTGATTGGGTGGAGGTGTGTTCTGATTGGTTAAGGGACTTGGCTGTGCTCTGATTGGATGGGGGGTTGGCTGTGCTCTGATTAGCTGGGGGAGTGTTCTGTTTGGGTGGGGGCTTTGTTGTGCTCAGGTTAGTTTGAGTTGCAGGGGGATTTGAGATGGTGAGCTTCATTGCTGTTGTTTGGCTTCGTGTTCGTGGTCATGCCACATCTTTATGGTGGGTGTCAGTTTGCTTCATGTATGGATTGGAGGGGTTTAAAGTGGCTAATGATGCAGCTGTGGACTGGNAGCAAACCCAAACCCACACAGATGATGAGGCACGACCACAAACTAGAAGCCAGTCCACAGCTGCATCATTAGCCACTTTAAATCCCTCCAATCCATACATGAAGCAAACTGACACCCACCATAAAGATGTGGCATGACCACGAACACGAAGCCAAACAACAGCAATGAAGCTCACCATCTCAAATCCCCCTGCAACTCAAACTAACCTGAGCACAACAAAGCCCCCACCCAAACAGAACACTCCCCCATCCAATCAGAGCACAGCCAACCCCCCATCCAATCAGAGCACAGCCAAGTCCCTTAACCAATCAGAACACACCTCCACCCAATCAGAACCCAGCCAACCTCCCACCCAATCAGTTCAAACCCCACTGGCAGTTAAAAGGAAGAAACAGCTGCGATCACACATTACTCCTAGAAGCACGAAGCTGAGGACACCAGCCTGAAGATGACAAATGGGACTTCGTCGAAACGTCACCAAGACACTTCCAATTTTATGCAGGAGAAAACCCGAATAACCAAAGATCTACATATATATATATTACAATCCAGAAAATTTTAAAATTGTAATTAAATACTAAGAGAGGATAAAAAGAATCAACACAATGGAACCACCTCAGTTCTTTAGTGTTTGTTTAGGTTTCCCCTAGGCCCAATGACATAACCAGGTTTTGAGAGACATCCGGAATGTTCTCAATTGTTAGAAATGGACTTCTTTGAGATGAGTTTTCTTTTTCAAGGAGAGAATGGGCTTAAAGCAGCAAAAAGGCAGTTATGGCACCACTTCTTTGAATGTGCTTGTGACCTCTATAAGAAAGTCAAGAGATATTAAAAATTCTTCATCTTTTCTTAAGTACAGTATTCTGTAGATACAATGTAGATATTCTATGCATTCTAGGTCATTTGAAAAACAGGAATTCAATGATCAATCTACAATTCAAAGTTATGATGGTACTGAATGAAGGGATTCACAATTATAGTTGTGGCTGTTGTGGGTATTGCAGCATTCTCACAGTCATATAATCATGATCTGGCTGCTTGGCAAATGTCTTGCAATTACATTGGTCAGAGTGTCTTGCAGTCACGTGATTGCTATTTGCAACCTTCTCTGCCTCGCTTCTGATAAGCAAAGTCAATGGGGAAGAAAGCAGGAGGTTACAAATGGTGATCAGATGGTAGCGGAATATTGTGACTGTGTAGGATTTGCCTAACAAAGAGAACTTGAACTGTCACAACTATCACTGTAAGTCAGTGCAATCGCATGACACTGCACTTTATGCCTGTCTCTTAGCAATGGAGTTGCCCCTCCCAATGACCATCTTCAAGTCATTACATATTCCTATGTAATATCTTTGTCTCTTGTTATATTAGGTCAGGCTCTT